TCTGCCCATTAAGTGTTTGTCAGTGAGTTCGTATTTCGCCACCTCTGCAGCCTACACATCCCAAGAAGTCCCCAGAGATATAGAAAGTTAATTGATCCTTGATTAAAAAGAGGGAGAAATGCTTGAGTCTGGCTCTGCAATCATCCTCAGATGATGATGATTATTATTTTTTTGGCTCTGCTTTCTGAAAAGCTTGTAATGCACATTTTATTATCAATAAGTTAAATTCCAGGATATTGGCTTCAGAGTTTTGATTAAATTAGGTATGTGTGTGATAATTAGCACATGTGTGGTACATGGTGAATATTCAATGAACATTAGCTAGTGCTCTTGCCTTGACTCTTCCAAAATTTATTCATTTATTTTGCAACAGTCATGAGAGTTACTGAGCTTCGTTTAATTTATTAATACTCATAGGTGCTTCCTTCTCTGTGTTTTAAATGACTCATTTCAGAAAGCACCTGAGATTTAGAATCAGATCGCTGGAATCCCATCCAGCTTTGTTGCCTACTTGCTGAGTGACTCTGGTAACACTTTAATCTCTCCGAACCTTAAAGTGGCTTGACGTATTAGTTTTATGACTGTTTCTCCTATTAGCCTTTGGGCCACTTGAAGGTTGGGATTTAACTTCTTTCGTGTCCATACCCCAGACAGTTCCTAAAGATGGTAGGTAGCTAGGTTTGTCAGACCGAGTAGTATATGTGGCACATCCTAAGTTTGGGTACATAATAGTTGTTCAGTAAACATTAGCTGTTATTAGTCTTTGTGCTATTTTTCTCTTTCTCCCCTTTATCTACTTGTATTTCTTTTCCAGCTCTGTAGCAAAATTTAAAATTATGTTCTTGTAATTACCAACTGTCTTAGTTACTTTCTCGTTGCTGAGACAAAATACCCAACACCCACAAGTGAAGGGAGGAAACGTTTATTTAGCTCACAGTTTGTAGAGATTTCAGTCCATAATCGGGTGACTCCAAGGCCGGGTGGCTTGGCAGAGGGGAATTGCAGAGGAGAAGTTCATAGCAAGCAGAAGACAGCAAAAGCAAGCAAGCAAGCCAGGGGCCTGACATGCCTTTTTCTGCCCCTTATATTGTATCCAGGCTACTGGGATTAGGGTGATGCCAAACCAATCAGTGGACTGATTTATTAACCACCCATCCTTAATCCTAGCACTGCACCATGAATCAGCCACACGTTCTAGATTCAGCCACATCTGAAAAAGCAGCATCTACAACTGCAGGAGGTTTTGAGGGGACATTTAACAACCATAACACCGATATTTTGTGACTGCCAGTATTGGTATCTCTATAAACTATACTGATTTTTTTTCATGAATGTGCTTCATCTGTGGGTCTTACAAACCTCTCTTACTTGTCGAAGGATCAAGTCAGGCCTTGAGCCCTGTGTGACCCTGGCAGAGTGGTCTTTTGTGCCCTCACTGCAACCTGCACAGACATCAGTGATCGCACTAGAAATACCTTAGTGCATTTGTGTTTGTGACTTTCTTACAACATCAAGTTCTCCAGGAAAATTGCTGTGATAGGTTTACTTTTAGCATCCCACTATCTAGCACTGGGAATTTTCTTGAAGTGAAGTGATGAGGGGGTGTGGGAATCAAGATGGTACCATTGTTGAAAATGGCCACACTGCTTTGGAAAGGCACAGCCTCTTCCCTGTGTCTTGCAGAGGCCAACCATGCTCTGGTGTCTCATGGGGAACCCGCTCCCCAGTTGGGGGTGTTTGTGAATCGCCCATCAACTGAAGGGTGTCTGAGGTTACCCTCGTCCTGGAGCAAAGCCAAGATTTGACGGGCATCACCCCAGTAATGCCACAAGTTTGTAAGAGAGACAGAAAAAGGCTTTGGGTTTCCTAAATGCTATCTCCATGCCTTTCAAGAAAATAAACAATATGTTCAGATCCGGCTTCGTGTCTGTTTGCGGTAATCATTCACATAATCACAACCGGAAACCACCCCCAAGCCATAGGCAAATAAAGAAGAAAAGGGATTTGGATGGAACCCAGTCTAAGAGAGGGCAGAGGAACTGGCCGGAGAGTTCTCTTTCCTAGCCATCTCTGTGGGCCTTTTTTGTCTCTTCCTCACTGTTAGCATTGAGTGTTTATAGTGTGTCTCAGACTTTATGCTGATGTTGCCCGGTGTTGTTGCCTTGAATTTGTCCAATGGAAGTTTCCTGGACTCATTTTTATTCTCTGTGTCTTCTGACCCAACTGTAAGCTCCCCGAAGTCAGGGTCTGGGCCATCTTGTATTATGATTACACATAATAAAAACAAAGTTAAGAGTCAACGAATATTTGTTGAATAAATGAATGAACTCCTAAACACATCGACTTACAGCATCCCAGCCGTCCTTAAGTTGCATTCATTCCTTCCGCTGACCAGATGAGAAAGGGAGTTTTGGAAATGTGAAGTCACTTGCTCGAGTAGCAGGGAACAGAACCAAGGTCATTAACTGAGTTCTAACTCCAAAGCTCTTTTATATGTGTTTTATTGTCCTTAGAAACACAAGTTTTACAGGCCCATCATGGGAACACTATTAAAAATAGAAGCTGGAGGCCTAAGAATATAGCACAAATGCAAGGCCCTCGGAGTCCATTCCCTTCCTGAGTTTATTAGCAACGCCTTGACTTCCAGGCACCTCAGAGGCTGCGGCCAGGCTTGGACTTGCAGCTAAACATTTTTATCACGATGTGTGGAACTTTAAAAGCAGACTATTAATATAATAGTGCTGGGTTCTTGGCTACTTTTCATAGCCAGCTTGGTCACATTTCAAAATGTTTAGGCTGTAGATTGAAGATGGTTCTGATCTAGAAGATATCTTTCCCAGGTCCCCCACCCAAAAGATCAGCTGACTTCTGTCACTTCTAAGCAAAACATTTATCCCGCTGCCTCCCCTTCTCCCCTACTCCAAGGCAGAGACAGAGTTTCAAAAGTTAATGGTTATTGCCTTTCAGGGCCCCTCTGTGTTTACTTTGAGAAGGTCAGGCACAATACTGTGGTGTGTTGCTGCTCTTTCTTTTCAAAGCAGCAGTATGAATTTGATAAAGTAAATTGTTGTTCTAGCAGGAAGCAGTTAGGGGTCACAAAATAAATAACCGTAGAATTCAAATAAATCCCAAAGAATAAAACCAAATAAATCCATGTGCATATGCACAGTGATTCATAAATATACTTTTTAGAAAGTGACCATTTTTATCACTGTCCGTCTGGACCAAAGTAATTGAAAAATTGTGGCATTCATGGTACCTTTTTTTTTTTTGGATGTGGTCTAGGGGTTTGAGCAATGTGACATAAATTTAATTCTTTTTGAAAAACATGAAAATGGAACTTTATCTTTTGAGTAACTGCTTATCTTGGTATTTTTTAGCTAATGAATTTCACATTTGGATGAGAGCAATTTGCAAAGTTAAATTAGAGATTTAGGCATGGAAAGCATAGACTAAGAGGCCATAAATGAACTAAATAGTCCATCTTCATTTGACAATGAGTCATGCTTAAATGATCCTTTGAAATGACCACTCAGGCTTATCAAAAGATTTAATATAGAAACACGGGGCTGGGGATTTAGTTCAGTGGTTCCAGCACCTGCCTCACAAGTGCAAGGTCCCAAGTTCGATTCCTATGTGTGTATATGTGTGTGTGTATATATATATACACACACACACACACACACACACACGTACATACAAATACCTAATATATTGTTTGGGCACAGTCAGTAATGGTTATCATCAAGATTTTTTTTATAGTCTTCCCTAGTCTTGACATTCAGTAAAAGTCTTGGCCCTCTCACTTTGTGAGGTGTCACTGGAGTCTGGTATTGAGCTTGCATAAAGGACAGCAAGAAGTATCTCAGTCCAGGAGAACAGCAGGAGCAAAGCAAGACATAGTCCCTGTGGACTCTTTTCTTGGCGGCAGACAGGGGCGGGCAGTGAAGAGGGGCAACAGAGCAGGAGGCTGGGGAGGAGAGTTCTGGAGTATACACTTTATCTCATCCTGTACAATGGCGACCCATTGCTGATGCTTTAGGGAGGCAGTGCCATGCCCACAGTCAGGGCCTTCAGCACACAAGCGGTAGATACATGCAGGAGACACCAAGGGCCAGGAAACCTGTCAGAAGGCTATGGTAGTGTCTGGATAGGAGTCCTTATGGACATTTGCTTTTCAATTCAGATTTTTGAGAGACTTTTCTGGGCAGATGATGGAATCCCTGACCTTTGAGAGAATGGCACTGATAGCTAGGAGCAGCTGCTACAGCCACCTGGTGCCTGCAGTGCCCTTGAGCGCCTGTCCAGGTCTGCGGGCAGCTGGGCTGAGCTCAATGCTGCTCGACTCCTTGGTGACCCTGAACAGTGAAAGCAAAGGCTTCCACATGGCATTCATTGAGCAGTTCCTACACATTGCTAGAGGTTTTATAGGTGTCAGTCTCCTTTATCATCACTGCAGCTCATTTGACTGTGGGAAACTGAGGCTTACAGAGATGGGGTGAGGTCACAGGACTAGAAAGTGGAGGATCTAGGACTCATTCCAGGTTCTGGCTCCTTGACCTGCACTACTTCATGCAGCATGGCCTTAGGCTGAGCCTCCCAAAGGGGAGCTGGGGGACCCTAGGAAACGAATGCCCTTGGAGGCAAAAATGGGCCGTGATTAACTTTGGGGTTACTTTAGTAGTTGTTACAAATGGGGCTTTAATTTTTAGCAGGGTGTTGTGCAAGGGTGGAAAATCTCTCCCCTGACTCTTCCACGACCTCCCTCTGGGCTCTTGGGCAAGACAAGTGCCCCTTTCCTCACAAGGGAGAAGAAAGGAGGAAGGGAGATGGATGTAGCAAGTGCTCTCTGTGGGCTGTACATGGCTATAAGTGAAAGGAACCAACATCACCATGACTGTGGCTTGGGATGGTCCTTGCTGCAGCCTGCTTGTCTTCAGCTTCCTTGCATTGATGTTCTCTTTTTTCCTTCCCCCCTTTCCATATGTGCATGGTTCCAGCCAGCCTGCCCTTCCTCATCATCGAGACAAGCACCATCAAGCCTTACCACCGAGGATTTTACTGCAGTGACGAGAGCATCAAGTACCCGCTGAAAACCGGGGAGACCATCAATGACGCTGTGCTCTGCACCGTGGGGATCGTCATTGCCATCCTCGCAGTAAGTGTCCTGCCTCTGCTGACCTCTCCTGCATTGTGATTGCATAGACAGTCCGAGCCAACAGAGATGTAACAAGCCAGCAAAGCCATTATCTTCTACCAAGCAGAATTGCATGTTACTACTAGTTACATCTTGCAGCTAATACTATTACTAAAAGCCAATACTTACTGTACAATAAAGACATACTAAGCACCCTTTAAATTGTTTTCCACATATTATCCTCACAGCAATCCAGTCTAGTCTAGATATTGTTCTTCTATTTCGTGTGCAACTTAAGAAATTAAGGTCCACAGAATAAGGCTAATTTTCCAAAGATCACTGGTTAAGAAGTTGTAGAGCTGAAATTTGAACTTAACTGTCTCCTAACCCACAGTCTGAGCTCTGAGCCCTAGAGAGGAAGGAACACCTTGCTGACTATCCCAGCTATTTCCTGTGTTCCCTGAACACCTTCCTTGCACTGCAGAAATAGTGATGAGCCCACTGACATTCTCTGGTATGTTGTTTGGTTCTCCTGCCCAATGGCTGTGGTGCCAAGGTAAATAGGACTTGGAATCCAGAGATACACGTTCTAGATCTAGCCCTCCAGTATCACAAGCCATACAGCTTTACATCCAAAGGCGGCCAACCTGCTTCACAGTGTCGCAACAAGGAGTAAAGAGATCGTGAATATTACCATACATTCCAAACTTAATTGCTAAGCAGGTGATTCCCGTGTGAAGTAAAGTCCAGGCTCCCATGTGCAGGACTTCCCTTAAAGGGGGAAACCCTCATTGCAGAGATGTGCCGTGGGTTTAAACAAGGTCTAGATTCAGTTTGAGCAACGGTGACGTCATGGGCATTGGGTGGGGGAGGGTAATTAAAATCCACTGTTAGAATTTGTGAGTCCTCCATTTTCACACCTGTCCATTTCGCATTCCCTATATTTGCTAAGTTTGTTCTCGGCCCTTGAACCTTTGCCATGTGGGTGAGAGGGATAGGCAACACATCTACTAAGAGCATAACTTCTCTTGCTTGAGCTACCTTTCTGTTGAGCATAGACTGAATACTTATCTTTGGCCTGCATTAAGAAGCCAAGGAGCAATGTCGTTAGTATCAACAACACTAAATGTGAAATAAATATTCTTATCCCCATTATGCAGATGGAAAAACTAAAGCTCATAGGGATTAAATGACATGCTTAAAGTCTATAGCTAGTAACAACCGGAGTTGAAGGCTGTACCTAGCTAGCTTATTTCAAAGTCCCCTTCGCATCTTGCAGACTTAAGTTTCAGGATGCTAGCTATCTAGATGAACTGCTCAAGGGGATAGGCGGTCAGCTTATCTTGCCTGCTCTGGATCAAGTCCGAGCTGCTGATATTACAAGAACCACACACTGCAGGAAGCTTTTCTTTTGACACCCACTCTGGGGGCTGGTTGTAAACTTTGAGACCCCTCTTTGTTTTTTAATAGTGTCGTAAACCAGTCACACAATCAACAGTTTGAATTTGGGGAGGGGGAAAGAGGGGTGGGAGAATTCTTTCCAACCTTTAAAAGAAAAACAGTCCGTTTGGCAAGTGTAGAAGTTTCTTAAAGGTGGACTAAGAATCTTTGTGTTCAAACACTGAAAAGTGAAAAGTCTAGTTTTGCTCCCGGTTGACAGTTGTGGAATTGAGTTCTAGAAGAATGGCTTTTCCTGAAAAAGGCGTTTGTCCTGAAAGCAAAGAACTGCGAAGTACCTTGAGCTAAGGTTTGAGCAGGTGTTTTGACAGCTGGAGCATCAGTTAATGGAATGCTTCACGGGAGCACTTTATAACCCAGGGGCACAGGGAGATGAGGACAGCACCCATGGCTGAGACCTGGATGTCACGTGTTCTGCTCTCCATGTGGTGTTGTTCCCAGCTTGCCTGGTGCAGTGCTCCCCACGGTGCATTGGAAAGGAGAGTTAGGCACCATTCCCAGGTGGATTAGGTGAATCCTTGGTTTTCTTCTGTCAAGTGGGAGTGGTGTTGGCAGTCCTGCAAAGGGACAGCAGTAAGAATCAAAGCTGTGATGCTGGACGCACATCCTGCGCCGTGTGGAGATGGGGTGTGCGGGTACCAGGCACACAGGAGCAGCTCTAGGGCTCTCAGCTGGCCCAGGACAAGCAAAAGCAATGTTAAAGTGGTGCCTTTCAACGCCATGCTTCTCTTCCCAAGCAGAACCCAGGGTCAGCAGCTCTTTGCTGCGTGCTCAGGCCAGCCTTGCCTTCTGGGGATGCCAGTGTGTCTTAAGGAAAAACCTGCTTTGAACAGCTTAGGGGTGGTTGCCCCTTTCCTTGTGTTATGTTGATGTTTTGACTAAAATGGTCTCTGGGTTGCAGGGTTTCCTTGAAACAGTCATATACTATGGGCCTTGGTTATAGGATAAGCAACATGTTGTTTTCCTGTTCCATACAATGCCAGCAACACAGGTTTAGATACGACTTCTGTACAGTTCAGAGAAATACCAGGCAAGAAAACGCCTCAGTGACTGCTGTGTGCTGTGGGAGCACACGGTCGTGATGGCATGTTTGGCTCTTGAAGAATCTCTGAGTGCTAGGTGCTCTGTTGTCCTCAGTGTGATATGGCTAAAAGGCGTCTGCTCTGGTCCAGACTGTGTGGTGTGTGGGAGGTAGTTAGCTTCAGGGGTCCTCATTGGACTCACGTGCACTTAACTAAGCTTTCAACAATGATGAAATGAGCTCTTGGAGGTAGCGTCACTCAGTGCCTGGTACCTACCATCCACACAATAAATGTTTACAGTCTTCATTACAAATGAGTACACAGAAAGCAAAGTGACTTAGCCAAGATAATACACCAGATAAAAATAGTCAGAATGAAAATAGTTCACTTTGGTATGCTCGGTTCTGGATTCTGGAAAAGCCATTTGACTAAGTAACAGCAGCAGCAGCCATACCACCATGCCTCCATGTACCCGCCCCCCCCGCCCCCC